ACAAAGGACGGAGCCGCCGCCGCCCCGAATTCACGCCAGTCTTGGTCTGTGCAATGCCGGTTCCGTTCCCTTCAGAGCTCTGCCAAAATCACGTACCGATCATTTCACGTCCGTTGGTGGTGTTCCAGGCCCTCCCCAACACCTCTCCTCCGCCTTCTGCTCCCAGGAAGCTACCCGGCACTTTTTGTCTGTCTCCTCTTGCACTCTGCTGCACGGTGGGATCACGATGTGTCACTCCGCAGCTCCCCATCCCCCAGGATTTGGTTGATTGATTGCTCCTCTTGAGAGAAAGACATGATGACGTCACGTTGACAGCAGGAGTCCGTTTAAAGGGGTTTGTCACTTTCTTTCTTCAGGTGACTAGGGTAAAGAAGAGGAACAAGATGATTGTGAGACAGAAGGCGGCAATTCAGTATCTCCCACTGCCTCCCACTGCTTCTTCCAAGTAACCAGCGATAGGACCGGAGGAAACGGCCTCAAGTTGTGCCAGGGGAGGTTTAGATTGGATGTGAGGAAAAATTTCTTCACTGAAAGAGTGGTCAGGCACTGGAACAGGCTGCCCAGGGAGGTGGTGGAGTCACCATCCCTGGAGGGGTTCAAAAAACATGTGGATGTGGCACCTCAGGCCACGGTTTAGCAGGCATGGTGGTGATGGGTTGATAGTTGGGCTTGGTGATCTTAGAAGTCTTTTCCAACCTTAATGGTTCTATGGTTTTGTTAAGTCTAGACCCACACGACACTGCTGGCTTGGGAAGTTTTGCACGGCCTTGAAGCAGGAGATGCTATCGCAAAGGCACACCGCCGCACCGCTCTCTTTCCCAGCGCGCTTCCCCACGCGCCTGTGAAAGCCTCATCTTGGCAAAAGCACCCAGCCCTCGCGCGTTTGGTGTTCTGGCACGGTTGTGTCAGCTCTGACTGCACTAGCACGTGGGAAACATGCAAGTCTACCCCCTGCCCCACAGGAGAGGAGCCGAGACCCCATGTGAGACCACCCACGCAGCGGCCACTTGCCAGGAACGACCCTCCCGTGGCCAACCCACAGCTGTGCCCCCATGGCCAGGCACCCCTGCTCCCGGCTGCGGGCTCAGCCCAGGGCCACCCGCTCCAGGGGTGATGCGTCCCCTGTCCCCACTGCCTCGGCCACCCCCAGGCCCCGGAGGTC